ATTTAATCTCAATCCAATAGAGCACCTTTGGGATGTGACAGAATGGGAGATTTGAATCATGATAATGTAGCCAACAAATCTGCAGCAACTTCATGATGCTATCATGTCAGCATGGACCAAAGTCTCTGAGGAATGTTTCAGGCACCTTGTTGAATCAATGCCACGCAGAATTAAGCCAATTCTGAAGGCAAAAGGGGGTTCAACCCCGTACAAGCAAGGTGTTCCTAATAAAATGGACACTGAGTGTGCATGTCTGCCCTTGCCCTGTTACTCTGTCAGTCACTGTATGTGCTGTAGGTGCTGAATATAAATGTGATTCTTGTCTGTGGTACTGGTACATATTCCTTCAATGTTGCTTTGTCATAGTTCTAGCCTTTGTCTCGTCATAACTAAATGTTGATAATATAGCCTATGATGATAACCAATCATAATGTAGCCTGCTACAAAAAAATTGCAAAAGAAATTACACAAAATGCAATGAACACCAATGGAAGCAAAATAATTGTAAATAAATGTGTCTATATTCCATCTTGTAATATTGTTTTTGAAACTATAATACTAAACTTTTTGGATGCTTAGGTAAAATGCTTAATCATCTTAATATGGTAGTTATAATTTTAGTGGTTAGAGAAGGTGACAGATTAACCATACCATTAACCAAAATATGTAATCATCATTGCAGCAACATACAACAGTTAATAACATTCTAAAAATAGAATGCAATCTAACATAAGCAACAGGATTGGCTTGGAGCATCAAATTTTAAGTATGAGCTGCTTAACAAAAAATAATATAGCTAGAATATTTGAAATACAGCATAAATAGATAATACAGTAAAGGTTCTCATAACCGGTAACATTGACACTGAGGTAATGCTGAATAAATAAATTTCCCAGACAGTTGAATGTTACTCTTGAAAAACACAGAATCGTAACAAGTTTCTTACTCTTTAACCAGTTTACATATCCACATGTTAATGATTATTGTGCTGATATTTTAACACACTGCGACATTTACATCATCCAACTACTAAAGTGTGCTGCTCCACAGGCATGCAAAGGAACCAATATATGTATTTCACAGTGGTATTCTGTTACACTTAGTTAGTTTAGTGTAAACGTTTAATAGAATACTCTTATTACATATTATTACAAAATGTTCATTTTCTTACTGATATTACAGTTTTTTGATGCAACATTTAGATTTTGGATTTAAGGTCTGTCCAGATTTTAAATCCTGTCTTTGAAATGTCAACACTACACCAAGACATTTAAAATTAGTCTATAGATTTTTCAACAGTACCTTCTGTTTCTGTGGAATGGGAATTTACTAGTGCTATACTTATTCATTGTGAAAGAAAACCAGAAAACAATCTACAGAATTATTTTAATCCATCCATACATTTTTTGTTGTGTGCAAACTAATATGATATCATAATCCCAGGTATATTAAACAAAATACGTGTATATTATAGACAAGTGATGCATATAATAGTGTTATACTCTCAAGGTACCTGATTGCAATAGAAGCCAAGCTACCCTATGCTACAATTATGCTTTACATAAGAATTAATAATTTTTCACACAAATTTGAGATATTGAATTCATAGTGATAAAACAAAATAAATCTGCCACCATGACAGACATGTTGTTTTTATAGTTCCATCTATCCATCATCTTATTTCCAGGAAGCAAGGGCACCAGGCACCCAAGGTAGGATCACACGCAATATGAAAAGACAGAACTCCACCCAAGTGCATGTTTTTGAACTATAGGTGAGAACCACACACACAGGGGGTAGGAAGCAAACCGGCAGCCCTGGAGATGTGGAGCCACTGAGCCACATCCACTCAGCCACCATGGCAGCATAATCTATATATATATATATTTTTTTTTTTTTTTCTTCTAAAAACACTAATTCAGCTATTATGCAAGATGGCTGCAGAGGAAATAAATTATAAACAACCTGGCTTTTTAAATTTATATATTTAATAACAAAAACGTAAAGCATACAGAAACAGGTAAAACAACATCTAGATTCATTGTATTTTGTTCACTTTATTCATTCATTTTATAATCTAGTTATAAAGTGATGTGACAGTTATAAAACAGTTCACATTTTTCATTATGTTTTGCTTAATCTGTCTATCAAATTTGTTTTGTTTTTCAAATATTATCCTCCTCAGTAATTAAGTAATTAAGTAATTAATTAAAACTTTAAGACCATTACATTCTACTTGTTTTTTAAAGGGTGTTAAAGAACACCAGTCAAAATTACATTCCTGAACATAATAGTTGTTGGGGTGGTGCCTTGGCACATTGGTTAGCACATATGGGATAGACTCCAGACCTCATGATCCTGAATAACAAGTCGGTACAGAAAACAGATGGTTAATGGATATTATAAAAGTAATATAGTGTGATAGAATAGAAATATCCCACAAATGCATATCCTACAAACACTGGGTTTCATTATTTAAAAATGGAAGATTTTCTGAAACAATCAGCCCCCAACCACCACGCAGAGGTTTGCAAAAAAAAAGTCACCATGATGAACAATGAATCAGGAAGTTCCACCAGACAGAGGCCCAGATGAGTTCATTGGTGTTGGTGACTTTCTAATACAGAGTATAGCATGTTACTTTCAAAAGTCAGATGTTTCCATTTTTAGGCCTTCAAAATTTAACAGTGATTGATAAAATTATGTAATACGTGAATTTATCTCTGATGTATAACAGCATTCTTGTTCATTCATAATAAATCTATGTTGTGCTGCAGGCTTTATTATAATAAATTACTACTACTACTACTACTACTACTACTACTATTACTACTTTAACTATGTCTGTTTTAATTGTTTGCTTGTTTATATAATGTGTATATGCTTTTTAAAATATTATTTTCAGTTTATGACTACATTCATCCATTCACCTTGATGTACAAGCCAGATTTCCCTTATAAGTTAATATATAAAATACATACAAAAAGCTACAATACTTTTGAATTACACACAACTGTAGTGATGCCATGCAATGTACTTAATATAATGCTAAAGGGAAATCAGATACAGAGCAGAGATTTCCTGTAGTTTACAAATTGGTTTGTTTTGTCTTACGGGTATAGTTTTATTCAATTCAGTTTAGAGTATAGTTATTTGGTGTTTCAATACGATTTGGCAATCCATTATTGCCACAAAATAGAATTCTGAAAGACTCTGTTGCAACATTTCACATAAATGTTTTAATGTACCGCCACTTTAATAGTATCTGTTTTACTTCATTTGGAAACCATTCCTCTTTTTTATCAGTCTCCGCCTCCTCTTATAATCAATGAGGCTGAAATAGGCAGCAGAATATGTGGTGCAGTGCACATCCGCACTCACATCTCAGTCGTCAAAAGCCGTTTCATGCAAATGAAAATGTAAATGTGGGCTAACTTCTTTTTAACTTAAACATCCAAAGCATTTACACTGTAATACTATGATACCAGGGATATTGAATAATGAGAAATAAATATCGTAATGATAATCAAATACAAATGTTATTGGCAGTCCTGTCCTGAATTCTTAAGAATCAGCATTTTGAATCCATCAGTATTGCTTATTCTGGCTATTTTACCATGATTGCGTACTGCAGTCAGACAGCTTTGTCAAACAAAATGAACTCTGTATGTGCATATATGTTGAGGAAAATTGCCAAGTCATACTAAAGGTTTACTTATATATTGAATTTCTCATGCAAGCACCATAAGCTCCATAAGGCCCTTTTCCCTTTTTTCTCGGTGAGTGAATCAGAGCAAGTACCTCATAGTATTTGGTTGCCTTGAATCTGTTTTTGTGTTCCAACCACACCAAATCCCATCCTCAGTGTTTGCAATATTTAAATTATTTTTTAGCCACTAATCATACATCGCAATTAGCATATACTGACATTTCACAAAGGCAGGGATGGCAGGATTTAGTACAGGCCGTATCACTGGAGCGTTTTACTTCACTGGAGTATTTTACTAAATTTTGTTCAATTACTCAAAAACCGAAATAATCTCAATAATATTCAGTCACTTGCTAGTTTTAGTTAATTGTGAAAGGCATTTTTAAAACTGCATAAAAACACGTACGCGAACCTTATATTATTATGTAGTCGTCAGCAGCACAGTACGTTTGACCGCCATGGAATTGGTATCAAGAACATTATTTAATTATTTTTGTTAAAAAAAAAATTGCAACGACACAATTTAAAATTGTTTTATATATTAACAGACATATTTCTAGGCGCTACCGCCGCTACCCATTTCCATGATCTACAGACTCCTACAGCCGGGTACTCTCTCGATGGAATACTGCCTAAAGCAAAACCCATCTAAATACGTGACCCCCCCACCACCACCTCCTCCATTTCTGTAGTCGACCCCTTCCCACTCCCAATCCAGTCAGAGACAAAAATGTAATCGCTGAAATGGTTATCGTGTGGTGTGTGTGTATATATATATACATATATATATATTTATATATATATATATATATATATATATATATATATATATATATATATATATATATATATATACACACACACACACACACACATAGATACATATATGCACCTTAACTGCCATACTGTTAATCTTCAAGAATCGAAGGAATGCGATAGCTACGCGGATTTTTATTTGCGTGTAATACAGTGCAGAACATATATTCTCATATGTCTGGACCTTGAACTATCTTCTCAATAAATACTTCCATCGCGCATGCAGTAGCCTGTGTCTGACAATACACAAATTAACACATAGCGCATAGCGGTAAAATGGCCCGGAACGCAAAATTTTGATTTTCTACACTCCGTTTATATATCTATGCATGCAATTGTGTCATACTGTGAACCACCAGCTCATGTAAGATGCCGATGCCAGATTGCAATGAAGATTTGGGAGGACAGAGAAAAGGAGGGGAAAAATTGGTATTAGGGGAGGAGGACATGGGTTGCGAAAAATATATAAGCTTACACTTCGTAGTTCCTGCGTACGATCCTTCATTGCTTCCTCGTTCCTCGCCAATAATATATTACAGCTTGGTTTTGCTGCCTTGACTGATTAATTTCCTTGGGTCCGTCTCGTATGTTATTTTTTCAGGCGTTTCTTTGGGGGTTTTCTATCCCCGGTGAACTGCCTCGTTTGTCCTTTTCTTCTCCTTCTATCCTCCCTCTTACACTGTTTGTGTGTCCTCCGAAACGGTGCAGTGTCGCTCCGCAGCGCGCTCCGTCTTGAGCTAATGAATGCAATAGAAGCGCGGTACTGATGCTGCAAAAAAAAAAAGAAAAAAAGCGATGCAGTGGGATGAGACCCTCCTGCGCATGTTCGTTTTCTTTGCTCCATCTCGATCAGTTTTTCCTGGTTCCCCTCCCCCTTCGGCATTCGATTTCTCTCCACAGTGCGTAATCAGCCGGCGCTTTAAATGCAAACTAGGGAAATGTAGTTTGTCTTTTGGCTTTATAAACATATGCAGGATAAATACATAGAACTCATATTCACCCTCAAAACGCCAGCAGTTTTTAGAAATCTTGTCTAAATAATTGTGGGATCTTGTTATATTTGCCATATAAACACACACCTTAAATCAACCAAGCAGCTAATTTGCACCTTGAAGTTTTTAAATATTTCTTTTTATGATGAGTCATGTTTTAGTTGACATTAGTAAAATGGGTTTGTGGTCAGTACTATGAATTGTACTGATGCCTTGCCATGTGAAATTCGAATGCTCTTTTTATATTTCTGCCAGTTTCTACCAGCAGAAATATTCAGTAAGCTGAAACAGTGACTACATTTCCTGTAGCGTGTAAATGTATGGTATGCTATCCAAAATTTCCATTGCTTTGTGCTTCCTGGAATATATTGAATGTGATTCTTTATGGTATGGAATGGTCAGACTGATGTTTTAGGTAACCCATTATCCTAGGGTTGGTGTGTAGCACAGGGGATTAGGCTTCCACACTTGAAATTCAAGGATTCAAAGGATTTATTTGATAAATGCATGGTATACAGTCGGACTATAACTTGCAGTGAAATGCAATATGGTAAATACTCCACCATAATAAATAGATCAGAAGGTCACTAGATCAAATCCAATGGCTGGAAGAGTGATGCCATTGTTGGGCACCCAAAATGACGCTGGACGCAGTCTGATCTTGCACTATGACCCAAAACTTTCTTTCACCTGTATATATGTCTCATGGAGAACAAGATGGGATATGTGAAGAAAAAAGGGGACAAATGAAGTTGCATTATTGTATAAGCAGTCCAATGCATTTGCAATAGAACCAATAAAGCTGAGTCAAAGATTGTTCCAATGGTAAAGTCCTTTAAAAAAATCTCTAACGTGACTAAAGAGATTTCTATAAAACCAGGATATTTTTATTGTCCCAGGGGACATTGATAGTGACTATATGCTACATGAAATAATTTCTATATCAAAATAAAAAAGTTAACATGTGGTAATAAGTGGGTGAGCATGAAAACATGTATAGTACTGTGGTGAAAAAATAAAAATTTGCTAGTAATTATTACACAAAATAAATCACTCAGTAGATATTTGTATTTTGTCGGGCCTAGCAATTGTGTTTCCCTATGGCAGGGGTGGCCAATCTTATCCACAAATGGCTGGTGTGTATGCAGGTTTTCACTGCAACTCCCTAATTAGATTACTAATTAGAGGACTGATTGGCTGAAGAGTCCTCACACCTGGGTTTGAACAGCTGACCTACAGGTTATCCCAAAATGCACACTGCATGCACACTGGCCCTTTGCGAATAAGATTGGCCACCCCTGCCCTATGGTGTCTTAATTGAAAATTGCCCTGCCCTGATTGCACCTGTGTTCTTCCCTTAATATATAAGAGTTGCATTAGGGTCAGCTCTTGTTGTCCCACTCTGTGTCCCTTCCCCATTTGGCCAGCAGGTGTTGCTGGTCATCCCGTCCCTCATGTTGTCAGTCTTTGTGTTTTCCCCTATTCCCTGTCAGCCTCATGGCTCAACTTGTTGAGCATGTGGTTGTTTGTGAAACCCTGTCTTGTGTTCGAATCCCGCCTCCTTTGTTTTTGTATTTTGTTCTCGTGTCTTGTGTTTTGTATTTGGTTTTAGTTTCATGTTTTGTGCCCGTGCTTGTGTTTTTACCTATCTGTTATTTCCCTAGTGTAGATTCTGTTTCTTAGTTTCTTTGTTAGTTTGAGTTCCCTGAGTTTAATTATTAGTGTTACGGCCCCCAGTCTAGGGTCAGGGACCGCCAGAAAGGTAAGGGATAGGGAAAGGGGAAGACAAGACAACCAGGGAATAAGGGAACGGGAACAAGGGACACAAGAGGTTCTTTTTTTATGTTTTTTTTTATTTTATCAAACACGTTCACAAACACGAGGTGCAATGAACTTCGGGAGTGATCTATGCCAAAACAACAAACAAAAACAGCTAAACGAACACGTCCCAACTAAGCTAATACCTAAGTGAAAACAAGTAAACAAACGACAAATACTACGCCTGACTCCCTAACCAAAAAACACACAATAACCACGATCCGCAAAACCAAAAGGCAATCACTCCTTACGCACCAAAATGAGACAAACAAACAGCCAGTACACAAGGACAAGAAATCATGGTATCCGAGGGGGAGAGCAAAGGGGAATAGTCGAGAGCCGGGCGAGAGATCAAAACCAGTAAAGCAAGCAAACCAAAATGAAGGTACCGAGAAGGGGAAAAAGCGAAAGTCGTAGTCCAGAGAGAAAGCAGTCATACACAGTAATCCAAATATCCAACAAACAATCCAAGCAAGCAAGAGTCGAGCAGAGCTCCTGGGGTTCGTCGCCAGCCGGCTCTTCAGTATCCGGACCGGAAGTGATGCCTGACGCATCGCAGGAGACGTAGGCGGAGTCGAGACGAGGGGGGGCGGGGCCAAGTTGCAGTCGGCGAATGATGACAGAGTCGGGAGGGACGGAGGAACTTCAGGGACACATATCTAGAACACGGCACGTAACATTAGTTTCAGCTGTTGCCTGTTCTTGTGGCTGCCCTTGTGTGTTTTCCTGATTGCTTGTTGTCCTGCACCCTCCCCGATTGGTTAACTGTCTGTCACTCCTGCTTGTCATTACTCCGTTCAGTTTTTGTATTTAAGTTCCTGCCTGAGTTTAGTTCCCTAGTGGGACAGAGTCGGCCGTAAGGGGAAAGTGGTGGGCGTGGCGTGGACCGGGTGGGGAGTTGAGGCGGCGGTGGACAGTGGAAGCTACAGCGTTTGCTGGAATAATAAAATAAAATGTATTATTTGAATATTTGTGGAGTAATCGAGGTAGATCCATGGCTAAACGATGAGACGCGTGCTGTTAAATGCGAATGCCGTAGAGTTGAGCGTAAATGGAAAAAGGACAAACTACAGGTGTCATTTCAAATGGTACGCGACTGTTGGACTCGTTATCAGAAAACAGTGAAGGATGCCAAGAGCAATTATTTCTCTGATATTGTTTTATCATGCTGTCATAAACCCCGTGTGTTGTTTAAGACTATTGATTCGTTACTCAATGCTCCGCAGACGAACTGTATTGAGTCTTCCCCTGTCGTTTGAGAAGATTTTCTTAACTTTTTTATTGATAAGGTCTCTTCTGCTAGGGCCTTAATATCATCCCCAGCGTTGATTCATGACTCCTCTGTCTTGGTCCCTTGCTGTGCTGTTTTTGATGAGTTTGAGCCAGTGACTATGTTATTCTTACAGGAGATTGTTGAGCATTTGAAGCCCTCTGGTTCTCCTTATGATGCTGTTCCTCCTCGACTTTTTAAAGAACTGTTTCCTACTGTTGGCCCAGCTGTTCTGGCTCTTGTTAACAGCAGCCTTTCTTCAGGTCTGGTACCTAAAACTTTTAAACATGCTGTTGTCCACCCTCTCATTAAAAAACCGGCTTTAGATTCCACAGTTCTCGAGAACTACAGACCCATTTCGAAACTTCCCTATCTTTCTAAAGTTATTGAGAAGATTGTGTACAGTCAATTAATTGCTTTTCTAGAAAAGCATAATATTTTAGAAGTTTTTCAATCTAGTTTTAAAACCATGCACAGCACTGAGTCAGCTCTGTTAAAAGTGTTTAATGATATATTTTTAGCTACTGACTGCGGTGACTGTGCTGTTCTCGTCCTCTTGGATCTAACTGCTGCATTTGATACAGTGGATCATGAAATTCTACTATCTCGTTTGGAGCAGTGGGTGGGCATTAGGGGCATAGCATTGGAGTGGTTCCGATCCTACCTGGCGCACCGAACCGTCTGTGTGTCCCTTGATGATTATGTGTCCTCCTTTGCTCCTCTACTACATGGGGTGCCACAGGGTTCTGTTTTAGGCCCCTTACTCTTTTCTATATATCTGCTACCACTTGGCTCCATTCTTAGGAAGCATGGGATTTCATTCCACTGTTACGCGGATGATAGTCAGATATATGTTCCTCTTAAAAAGAAAGATGCCTACTCGGTAAGACCTTTACTTAGGTGTTTTGAAGAAATAAAATCCTGGTTGACCCTCAATTTTTTACAACTCAATGAAAAAAAGACAGAGGTGATGGTCTTTGGCGGATCTTCTGAGAACCCTTTTGTGGATCTGGGTTCTTTGTCTCAGTATGTAAAACCAGTCATCTCCAATTTAGGTGTCAAAGTGGATGTGGATCTTAGATTTGATAGTCAGATTAGGGATGTTGTTAAATCAAGCTACTTTCACTTGAGAAATCTGGCTAAAATAAAATCTGTTCTCCCTAGGCAGCAGTTTGAGACAGTAATTCATGCCTTTGTCACTACTAGAATTGATTATTGTAATGCGCTCTATGTGGGGGTTAATGGTTCCTCAATTGCTCAACTTCAGCGGGTACAAAATGCTGCCGCACGTCTGTTAACTGGCACTCGGAAGTATGAGCACATTTCCCCGGTTTTAGCCTCACTTCACTGGCTCCCTGTATATTTGAGGATTCATTTTAAAATTCTCCTGTTTGCTTATAAAGCATTAAATGGTCTGGCCCCGACCTACCTGTCAGAGCTACTTCACCCTTATTCGCCCTCCCGCTCTCTCAGGTCAGCTGATCAGCTGCTCCTGTGTGTGCCGAAAACTAAGCGTAAGCTTAGAGGGGATCGGGCTTTCGCTGTTGCAGCTCCAACAATGTGGAATAAACTGCCTTTGCACATTAGACAGGCTTCTTCCCTTGCTGTTTTTAAATCTCTTCTTAAAACCCATTTTTTTCCCATAGCCTTTGATGACTTGCAAGATGCTGGCAGTTGACTCATTTGTCTTATTTCATTTATTTTATTTACTCTATTT